ATCTGCAAAGGAGAGTATCACTTCCCACCTAGCAAGGAAGCCTTGCACGATGGGTGGGCACACAAATACTCATTCACTCCTTCCCCTCCCTCCCCTCCCTTCCCCTCAGGGGCCTTTGACAAAGCCTCCCCACCTGAAGCAGAAGGGGTAGGGCTGGATCCTAAAGCATCTGCCAGCTCTGATATTCTTGGATTCTAGGATTCTAGCCAAAGAAAATAAACCAGAACCCCAAACACTCCCACTTTCCGTACTCATCAAATTTGAAAACACAACTGCCTAGTCTGATGCCAGAAACTTCTCTGCAGAGCCGGATCAAGCCACTTCCTTCCTGCAGCCCCAGCAGCTCATACTACTATTAGTTTGGAACTACAGTCCCTAAAAACAGCGCTCACTGCCTGTCACGTTCACCCTGGAGCCCCAGCACCTAAGACAGTGCCAGGCACAAAGCAGGCATCTGTTAAGAACAAAGGAATGCATGATCAGAAAGATGCCTCCACCTCACAGGAGAGCTCTTGGGATTGGCTGGGCGGGCTCAGCCCAGGCTGGTGCACGATGTTGATGAACCTCATCTTGTCTCCCCGGCCCCACGCCGAGGCTTCCCTCTGTGGTCTCCAGGTCCTCACTTTGCTGAGTTCGGAGGACGTAGCACCCCACCCACGCCAGCCCGAGCGACCTTCAAGTTGACTTGCACAGATAGATGGCACCAAACTCCTGTTCTCTGCTTTACCTATTACCCGTGCCTGGGGATAGGAGCGCGTAAAGTGCTTTGCAAACTATCAAGAGGGATATAAAAGTGAGGAACTATCTTCCCAAGGAGCAGATAAACTAGGCTTTCTAGGTTTCTCTGATGAGCAAGATTTTGGAAATCTACAATAACCGTATGACCCATCCATTCCTCTTCTGGGTTTACACCCCGAAGGACTGAAAACAGAGTCATCAACAGGCAGTGTGCACCCCTGTTCACAGCAGCACTATTCACAATGGCCAAATGTTGGAAGCAGCCTAATGAATGGATAAGCAAAATGTGGTCCAGATGTGTAACGGAGCATTATTCAGCCTTAAAAAGGAAGGACATTCTGACACATGCTTCAGCGTGGATGAAACTTGAGGACATCATGTTAAGTGAAATAAGCCAATCACAAAAGAACAAACACCGTGATTCCACTTACGTGAGTTACCTAGAGGAGTTAAATTCATAGAAACAGAAAGAAGAGTGGTTGACAGGGGCTGGGAGGAGGGGAATGGGGAATGAGTGTCTTACGGGGACAGTTTCAGTTTTGCAAGATGGAAAGAGTTCCGGAGATGGACGGTGGTGATGGCTGCACAGTATTTTTTCACAACAGAGTTGGCAGACATGGCGTGTCATTGAGTCAACACTGGGGAACATCACATCAGGGTCCTCGTCGTCACTATCCTCCCTACACTGCCACTTACACAAGGCTGGAGCGACTTTCCCCGCTTTGCAGATGAGGACACAGAGGCTGAAAGGAGGGGGAGCATCTTGCTCTGGGTCAAACAGCCACAAAGAGGGCAACCCAGCTGCTGAATGCCTAGTCTGGGGGAATCTGTGGCCTTGAACTTGCGGGGGGACGGACATCACAGGGCTGCCGCAGGAAGACGAAACCACAGAGCTAAAGGCTGCCTCCTTGGCAGTAGGGTCACAAAAAGCTGACATTTCAATGGCAAAGAAAGTAGGTTAGCGGCTCCCCCTCCTCCGGGGCCTCGCCCAGCCCAGCCCTGAATGATCCGCCCGTCCCAGGGGCTGTCACTCACAGACTCAAGTCCCTAGAGCCAATCCAACCACCAGGCCATGGCTGCAGCATCTGTCCAGCTCCACCACCCTGTGACCCGCCTTTCCCTGTTCTCAGGAGGGTGGGAAAGGACCAGGTAGGATCAGATGTCATCACTCCTAGCTCCCCCACCGCACAGCCCTGGACAAACGACTCCCCTCGGTCTCTGTCCTTCCATTTCCCCAGCTGTAAAACAAGGGGCTGCATGAGATAAACCTAGGATCCCTGGGGACCGATTCACCTCCTGCTTCCCCAGAACATCCCCCACGTGCCCAGAGTCCTGGGAGACAGAGACCAACATACGGAGCTCTGGCCCGGGGCTGGGAGAAGCAGAGACGGCACAGTAAGACTGCGGGCTTCCTTCCTGCTCAGGCAGACGTGGGTGTGAGTCCCAGTCCCACCACTCTGGAGTCAGTTTCCCCATCGGAACAAAGAGGATAACAGTACCTCTGTCTATGCTGTTGTTGCGGTGTTACATGAGATTTTGGCTAGGAAGCCCTTAGCACAGGGTCTGGCTTGCAGGAAGCACCACTAAACCCGCCTCATCAGGCGTGGGCAGAACAGGAAGCTCTCAGGGCTCGGAGAGGGAGGGCCCAGGGTCTGGTGCCACCCTCCCGTCACTGCAGGGTGACCTGGGGCAAGCGACCTACCAACTCTGACTCTCTTCTTAAACAAGAATAATAAAGAGTAGAACCGGAGGCCACGTCCCGTGAGACCACACCCTCCTTGAAGGCCACAGTCAGTGTCCTCAGTGCTGATGCAGCCAATGACATGACCGGCTCGGGTCCCTCCCTCCTCTGATGGCCTACAAGGTGCAGGGACCTGATGGTCTGAGTCACAGGGGAACGAGCCAGACAGACACAGTCAGTGATGGCGGGGGCGAGTGACTAGTTTGGGGCCTGGGCTACTCAGAGCTCCCTCCCTGGCTCAGACATAGACCCAGGCTGCCCCACCCATCCCAGGCCCCTCTCCCGTTTCTATGCACAAAGGTGGGCTGAGCCTGCCAGGTAGCCCTGCTTCCAGCTCCAGTGGAGCTGCAGACTGAGCCAGGACCACCTCGCTGCACTCCTACCCACAGTGACCCCAGAGGAGAAACTGTGCCTGGAGGTCTGACCTCGTCTCCTCTCACCCCCAGGCATGGTGGCTCAGGGGTCCCCAGACCCCAGAGTTTAAGGGTCACTTCCACACATCCATCCATGCCTGTAACCTGCATTGTTGCAGACAATGTGGCCTTTGCTTTCTAAGCAACAATGAGCTCGGCTGTGAACAGCACTGGTGTCGGCGTTATCACAGGGGGTGGGGGGCTCAGGGGACTTGAAAGCTGGGGGGGCCTCCCTGGCTGTGTGACCTGAAGGCCCTTGTATTAGGTGATACCAGAGCCCCAGGCCCTTGTGGAGATTAAATGAGTGCCTTTAATTCGATAAATATAATTAAAGGCAGCATGCTTAGAACAGTGCCTCCGCACATAGTGAGGGCTCAGGAGCATTAATTCTTACTGTCAGGCTAATTTCACAGATGGAGGGTCACTTGTTCAAGGGCACACACCTTGCAAGGGTCAGCTAGGATTAAATCTGGTTGGCCCGACACAAAAAAAAAAGAGAAGAAAGATGCTTTTGTTCGAGATGGCATGATGTCTCTGCCATGGCCTGACCGTGGCAAGTTTCACTGTCCAGGTGGCTCAGTTTCCTCATTCATAAAGTGGGGAGAAGCCAGCCCTGGTCCGAGCTCACCCACCGCAGGGGCGTGGGGATGCTGGGGCAGCAGTGAAGCTCTAAACCCAGGGCTGAGTCGGAAATTCTTCTGAGGGAAGAGGGCGTCTCTGTGCTCAGCTGCTTTTAATCACAGACTTCAGGGGTCAATGTCCACCCTGTCCCTAGGAGGCTATCAAAGGAGGTTTCATGGTCAAGTTGCACAGGGCACCATGCTAGCCTTGCGACCGAGAGCCAGGGATGCTTGGCCTCTGAGCCTCAGTTTTCCCAGCTTTAAGAATGGAGACAGCGATCTTCACTCTATAACTCGGTTGGCGTTAAGTGGGGTGTCCCCCGCAGAGTACAGGTGCCACGCATCTGTCTGGGTGTCCAGGGGGTGCACGGTGGTGGTGTAATAAGTGTGTTCTGAACAAGTTGATGTTACACAGTGGGATGTACTGGCCTCAGAGAACAAATGCCAGGGACAGAAACCAATACCTCGGGCACATCCCAGGGGTTCCCTGGGGCCCGAGGTCAGGGTGGCCCCCAGGCACAGCTGGGATGACACGCAAGCACGTTAAAGCCCACACACCTTGCATGTGCTGTTCAAGGCCCCCAGGACCTCAGACCAGCCAATGATTCCAACTCCTCCCTCTCTCCCCACTTCCTTCCAAAGACAGCGCCAAGATCCCCGCCTCCAATGGATGGTGGGCCAAAAACTGAAATACGAGATTCCGGAGGAAGAGTGAAGCTGTTTTGGGGGGATGGGGATGAAATGTGTGATGAAGACGCGGAGTTCGGAATGGGCCGGGAGCCAGGGACACCTGTGTGATGTGCAGGGAGAGGTCCAGGTGAGCGTGTCAGCCAACATCTGGTTTGTCTTCTCCCGGGAGCCTACAAGACCCAGATGTGCCCAGGCTTCCGGCCCCACCCCCAGAGCCCGGCCCAGCGTGGGGCCCACGTGGCTCCAGGACAACGAGTCCAGGATCTACAGTTTCTGAGGTTCTGACCCACCCCTCGGCCAAGAGAGGCCAACTGGCTCTCCCGAAAGCTAGTTCTTGAACACACTTCCAGACACCACCCCCCACCTTGCTCTCACACCAACCCGGAGCAGAGGTGGAGCCAGAAAGCCACAGGGAAGGCTGGTCTCACTTCCCAAGCAGAGCCAAGAACATCAAGCCTTTGCTTCCGTCCCCTCCCGCCGCAGGGTCCCAAGCCCACCCAGTGCCTCGCCGTTTCCCCCGCACTCGCCCCACAGCTCTGCCCAGCTCTGTGGGGTCAAAGGCGGCCGTATCTGACCAGCTTGCACAGCGGGTAACTGGCTTGCGGCTTCCTTGGCCAGAACTCAAACCAGCTTTCCTCTGGGGAGAAGGCCCTGAGTGTGGGGAACCAGCTGAGCTCACTGGCTTCTCTGCCTTCACCCCTAAGGTCTGAACACGAATCTACTTCAAACCAATGGGAGAAGGAGGGAAAGAGAAGACAGAGCAAGAAAGGGGGAAGGGAAGCCACGTCTTCTACTTGCCTGAACATCAAACTCTTGCAGGAGGCCAGTGATGGTCTGTGGAGGGAAAAGAGAGACAGTCAGTTTGATCAGTTTCCTGGGGCAGAGATGGAATGTCAGAACACAAGGACCTCTCCACGCCCTGAATCTGTTGTATCTACCTGACGGCCTCTGTGGGGTTTCTCTAATTCCTTACAGAGAGACACTTTTCACCACAAAGAATAGCAACCTCACAGAAAAGTAGACACATTAGCTGGATTCTGTTCTGACTGCAGCCTTGGTGAAAAAAAAAGATCTGAAGGTCTAAGCATACCACAAGCTTGAGAGATACAGGACTGTAATTGCCTATTAACTGATGTCTCTGTCTCCACCCATGTACTACATTTTTAAAATTCAAACCTGACCATGTCACTGTCTTTACATTTCTTCCACATTAGCCCACCATCTGGATTAAAATCCAGTTTCTCGTGGATGGAGGAGGAGAGCAGGGCACTTCCCTCAATCCAATAATTCTGAGTTTCCAGCCCAAATTCCATCTTTCACCAGAGTTGTCAGTGGCAGGCCAGGCCGAGGAAGACAGCAATAGGGCGCTTGTCACCTGGGTAGTAGTGAAAGTCCCACTCAGAGTTGGAGAGGGAGCCATGCTTGGCCAGTGTTTCCAAGAAATGTTGCTGGCACGTGTTCCTCCCGACTCAGAGATGGAGTTCAAACACCATCTGAAAGCAGAGCCCCAGCGAGACCTACCACCACTCACCATGAAGGAAGACAGCTCAGCAGAGCCAAGGGCAAAAGAGGTGAAGGAAGGGGAAGGGGGCCCCTCGGGCTAGCCAGGAGCTGGGAGATAAGACAGTAACAAACGCCTGCTGAAGGAGATTAAAATAACTTCACATCTCCTGGTCTGGGGTTAAGAACGTCAGGGAGGTCTGATAAATTCAGGTGGAAGCAAATGTGACCAACAATACTTTGTGTGGTATGTCTGTGTGTGTCTGTGTCTCTGTATTGGTAGGAGGGAGTAGACCAGCTACTGTGTACAACCCTAATCTTCAGAATGTCAACAGGAGTGCAGTGGCCACCCAGCCTGAGGACAGACATCAGGCAGAACTTCCCAACAGCTAGCCTAATTACAAACACTTTGCTGAGTCAATCCAAGGAACCGGAAGGTTTACTTCCATCTAAACCTTGAAAGAAAAGGTAAATATCTACTTAGAGATAGACTGACATGTGACCTGGAGTTGATAATCTCTTAGATATTTGTTTCAGGAATAAAATTCTCCAAGGATGCCACTAGACTGCCTGAAATATATAAATGCTGTGTTTAAAAAGGCATTTGCCCTTGGACCCAGTGATGCCACTTGGGGAATTTATCTTTGAGATGCACCTGCCATGTGTATGAAACGATGTAGACGAAGGATCCAATGAGTGTATGAACACTGTGTAGCACTGCTGGTAACGGTAACGTGGGCCCAAGGGTCCACATACAGGGCACTGGTCAAATAAACGTGGTGGAATCCTGCGGCACTGGAAAGAGAAAAACAGGTGCTCTATGGACTGATGTCGGAAAGGTCTCCAACGTGTGTGGTTGAATAAATACAGCAAAGTGTGGAATAGTATGTCATGTGGTTTTTCAAAGAGGGGCGATAAGACAATGTTGATATGTATTTGTATCACCTAGAGGGGTTTTGTTTGTTTGTTTGCTTTTTAAGATGATGTCAAAGACCCCGACGGAAGAGAAATAGGTTTGGAGCATGCATAGTGAATACTATTAGTTGGCCAACTATGACCCTCTACCTTCCTCCACCTGTTTTTGTGAGTAAAGCTTTATTGGAACACAGCAAGCCCGTTCACTTACACATTGTCGAGGGCTGCTTTCATGATGTAACTGTAAGGCAGAGTGGTCGCAACAGAGACCACGTGGTCCTCAAAGCCTAAGATATTTGCCTCTGGCCCTTTATGCAGAAGACATCTGCAGACCCCTGGCATGGCAATGACATCAAGCATTCTGCAGCTTCCCCTGGCCTGGCTTCTACTCCTGGACTCAGCTTCCTCTTCTGGAAAATGGGAACAATCACAGAACCTAGTCTAATCAACCAGTCTTATCCTTTCATTTAGCACAAGATAACCCACGAAATACGACTGGCCCAGAGACAGGCATGCAGGATGTGGTCCATGTGTGTTAATAAGTATTTTTCGAAAGCGTTTAGTTGACCTTGGAGTAACTTCACTTTTGAACCTGAGCTTTCCTTTTTAAAAACGGTGTCTCATCACAGGCAGTTAAAAGTCTCAGTGAGGACTGCGATGTGAACATAGTTTAAAAATACAACATCAACTGTGCAAATGAAAAGGCTTTTCGCATCCATCATCAGCACAACCAGTCCCGGATGGATCATGCCAGGCCAGGCTGCAGGGCAGGGGCTTCTGTTTCCAACAGAAACTGCCATGAAAAGCTTTGATCAAAAAGATGGTAATGATTGCAGCAGCGAGAGCTCCTGTGCCCTGCAGGCTCCCTCTGAGGCAGGCAAGGTTCTAACTGCTCTGCGTGAATTAAACCACTCTATCCTCTCCCTGGCCCCACGATGTAAGTCGCTGTGTCACTGTTTTAAAGTTGGGTATCTGGAGCATGATGAGATCGAAGGATTTGCCAGTGGTCACAAAGCTGCCAAGTGTCACAGGCAGGATCTGAACCCAGGTGGTCTGGCCCCAGAGTGTGTGGCCTTAACCTTGAAGCTATGGGGCAGACAGAGCCAATGGGCAATGGGCCTCACGCTGCAGGTTCTAGAAACACAGGTTGTCAGAGGTGGAGGTGCTGGGAGGAACTCTGGTTCAATGCTCTTACTTTACAACTGAGATCAGGGAGGTAGGAGCGAAAAAGCCAGAGATGGGCGAGAGGTCGGGTCCACAGTGCCCTAGAACTCTGTGGCCACACTGGGACTTGAACTGTTACCTCTTGTCCCTTTGCATCCCTGGACAAGCTGACCTGTGGGAACAAGGAAGCGTGGACATGGGTGTGTATGTGCTCACGTGTGTATGTGGATGTGTGCTGCATTGTGCACACATGCACGCCTGTGTGTGAGTGTGTATGGGGTGGGGGGAGCCAGGAGCATCTCCACTCACCTCCCCTTTCTCCACCAAAGGCTTCACCTCAGCAAGGTCCACGTCCTGCAGCTCCCGAGACATGTCCCCACTGTCACCTGCCTGCAAAGGAACAGAGGCCAGGAGGTTAGCACTTCTGGCTGAGAGATGTTTCCAGAAGGGAGCAAATCTGAGATCAGGGAATGAGGCTTCACTGGGCCCGGCCCAGCAGCTCCTACCTCCTGCCCACAGCCCCATCCCACTCTTGTCCCTGAGGGCCCGGGTAGGAGATTTCCTGCAATGGCGGGAAACTGAGGCTTAGGGATGCAAGTACCCTCAAAACCAGGTCCTCATACCCAGTCCAGGCTCACTACCACACTAGGGACGTTTCTCCTGCATTTTAGAAGGAGACCCACATCTCTGATCCCCAAGTCAGGCAGTCCCAGGTTGAGAACCAAAAGGGGACAAAAGGTCATGGAGGCAGCTCCATCCTCCATCCTCTTCAAACCAGCTCCAGCAGAGGGGTGGCTGCACAGATACCTCGTGTCCACCTCTGTGCTGGGTGTCCTGCTCCACGCTGGGGGGAAGAGGGGTGGGGGCGGGGAGCACCTTAAGCCAAGGGGGCCAACAGAACTGAACACTCGGTAGGATTTTGAAAGAAAAAGGAACTTTGAGGCAAAAAGCACCTCATGAGTCAGAGCAGGGATGGGGAAGAAGGGTGGGGGGACGGGGGGACAGGGTGGGAGGGCAGGGGTGGGGGACAAGGGTGAGGGGTAGAGGCCGGGGTGGGCCAGAAGAGGAACTCCTCGGCTCTGGCACGGGGCAGGTGCAGAAGGGCCAGGAGAGCTGGACTGGGCAGAGTTAGGGATGCTGGGGTGCCGCCGTAATTCAGTCCCTGGGGAGCAAGGTTTGAGTGGTGATGTGCACTATGTGCACTTCCGGGAGCTTAACTGGGGATCAGGAGACGTAAACGCCTCTTCTTACTGATGGATAGTCAAACTGGAAGGATGAGGTGCCCACCAGTACCGGGGGGAGGCACAAAGGGCCCAGAATGAGGGTCCAGTGCTTCAGGCAGACGCAGAAGAGACGGGGGAAGGAGCAACAGAATCCCTGGTTCACAGACTCAGACCTTCTGAATCAGGAACCTTGGCGAAAACCATTCTGATCAAGGCCCTCACAGTATTTCCCAGAGTGGGAGCCTGGCCCCAGGCTCGCCAGGGCCCCACAGATGTAACAGCCAGAGAGAGTGCAAGCCTCTGAACTTCCAGCCCAGTGCTCCTCTGAAGACCCAGCTCCCCGAACCCAGAAGAACCCTCTTTGTGAAACACCTCTCAGAGCTCGGCGGGCACCAGAGCCAGGGCCGCCCCGCACCCAGCCCCGTGCCAGCACGTGGCATTCCGTGGGCAGATCCCCTGGGATGCTCTGGTCTGCGGCCCCAGCACGATTTTCCCCAGCAGATAACCAGCCCCACAAGAATGTCTTTATGCAGCCTTTGGAGTCTAGGCTCCAGAACATTCCGAAAACAAAGTCGGTTTTATATCTGTGAGCATTCCTGGGCCGCTGCCAGCTCGGAGGCAGGAGGCATGAAAAGCCAAGGTCTGCTGGCCTTGCTAATTCAGCAGGTTCATGGTCCCGAGACTCTGGCCGTGGGACACCTCGCCTACACAGCCCAGAGAGCTTTCCAGAAGCCCAGGGCTCTGGCAGTGCTACCCTTCGTGCTGAGAGTGAAAAGACTTCACATTTCCCAGGGGCCCGTTCAGAACCTGGGGGTGAAGTCACAGTCTCACTGCCCCGTGGGCGGGCCCTGGCGGGCATCTTCAGCCCCACCTGGGAGCTCCCAGGGCAGGCAGCCCACCTGGCTCGCTCCCTTCCCTACCTGTAGCTCCTAGCATTATGACCAGGTGCAAAGTCCAGCCTCGACTCACTTGTTGAATAGACAGATAAACAGGTTTTATGCAGCCTCATAAGCGATGTCTGTATTTAAATTCACTCTTCCGTGGTCACTAAACCACAAGAGTGAAACGCCGTGAAAACAAGCCTACATTTACAAGGCCTCGAGCACAGGCTATAGTTCAGCCCAAGATGGTCAGTTGTCCTTGACTCCCAGACGCTGCAATCCTGTTCGAGTTAGCCTCCACCAGCCCCACCCCCCATGCTCCTCTAGAACAGGGAAGAGTTCAGTTCCAGCCTTCACCGCTTCGCTGATGTGCTCCTGGCGAACTCTCTTTACCCCCCAGTTTCTTTCCCTTCCTACGACCCAGCTTCCCAGGCCCCATGAGACAGTGGGTTGAAAATTGGCCAGCCTCCCTTCAGTATCAGTGTTTGAGAGTTGCTGCTTTGAGGAGTGGGAGGGGGTCTCGTGGAACCCCGCCCCGGGTGTGCTCAGGCTCCGGGGAGGCTCAGAGGCGACACCAGGGATAACCTCTCAGTGTTTGTCTACACCAGGGTGATTTTGTCCCCCAGGGGACGTTCGGCAATGTCTGGGGACATTTTTGATTGTTGCGACTGGGAGATGCTACTGGCGTCTAACGAGTGGAGGCCAGGGAGGCAGCTCTCACCCTGCCAAGCATAGGACGCCCCGGCAGCAAAATCATCTGGTCTCAGTGGTGAGGGGGCTGAGACACTCTGGCCGAGACCAAGAAGCAGCCAGTAAGGGATCCGGGACTCAGAAGTCTGCAGGGAGACTAGATAAAGCAGAGGGAGCATCAGGAGGGACTCCTTGTCCCTGGGAGAATCTGCAGCTGATAACCACAAATGTGCCGGCAGGGAGAGCTCGGCCAGGCCCTCCGCCTAGGTCACAGTCTGCAGTCACCAAGGCTGCCCAAACTGGCTGCAGAAGGTGGTCTCTGCGTCTTGGTGGTCAGCCTGCAAGGGGCAGGGGGACGGCTGGCTGCCCTCCGCCCAGTTCTGCCCACTTAGGCCGGCTGAGGGCCAGCCCTTACCCTGTCTCTGTTGCCTCAATCCAAGAACTTTGCGAACTTTTGTTTCAGAAGCTGTTTGCCTAAAGGAAATCTTACAAGGAAGTTCAATACATAAAATCAGGTTTGTTTGGATGAAACCAGGGACACCTACCAGCAGCCCCTCATGCTCCCCTCCCCTCCCTCTGCCCCTCCCCACTACCCACGCAGCAAGACCAGCCCTCAAAGACCATCTGAGTTCCAGGAAGTCCAGATTGACACCGCGATTTACTCAGAGGTGGCTTCCTGCACATTAGGCTCTCACGCACCAGGTGCTGAGCAAAGCGAGAAAGTACCAAAAATAGTTTTGTTGACAAAATTCTATGATGTGACAAGTTGGGGACAGGGCCATAGATGAAAAGACTCAGTCCTGAGCCCAGAGCTGGCCGAGTCCTGGGGCCGGGTGCCCCACCCCTGGGTCCCGCAGCACCTGCTCTCCCACCAAGCCCAGTCACAACCATCCATCTCTGCAGGAGGGGAAGCTCCGCCCAGGGCAGGGGGGCTGTGGTCCACCCCACACCTCTCCTCGGGTGCAGCCTCTCCACCTGCACCGCTCATCATTCTGGGCTGTGGAGGCTCTCACAGCACTGCAGGAGGTTGATGGATGGGAGGTGACCTGACTGGGTGCTCTAGCTGGTGCCCCTGCCCCTCCTAGGTGCCACTCAGAGCCCACAGCAAGATCCTTCCCTGGGCTTGAGGCCGAGCGCTGGATGCCCGTCCCTGCCCCTCTCCTCTGCCTCCTGGAAAGTCCCAGTGCAGAGTGTCGGACCGAGAAGGGCCAAGGCAGTCATTCAGTGGACACGGGGTGACAAGGCAAGGCCATGTAGGGCACAGGGCACAGTGGGTAGGAGCCCAGGGGTCCGACTGTTGACTATCTGCTCTACCCTGCAAGACAGGGGATGGTGGGGCACCCGCCAATCATGTCTCAGCACAGAGGGAAGCCACTCCAGATAGGAAATTAGCGATGCTGGTCAGTGAGTAACGAAGGCCCAAGTTGGGGGCAGGCAAATGCCTTTCTAGTTCAACACACCCAGGAGACAGTCAGCAATCAGCCAGACCTCACGGGTCCAGGGGAGCCAAACCTCATATTTGCCTGGAGGAGGGAAGAACGTGACCCTGGGAACTGGGAGGCTGGCGGGCAGAGGCATCTCAGGCAATGAGGTCACGTGAAAGCTGTTAAGCAGTCACTGAGAGAGTGAGGGGACACACGGAGCCTGGGACTTTTAAAAGCCCTGGTGGAGCAGCAGGAACACTGGCTTAGGAGTGGGGCCGTGGGAGCCCTGCCCCTCTCGCCACGTGACTTTCACCAAGTCATTCATCCCCTCCCTGGACCTTGACTTCCCATCTGCAAAATATGCAGTGTGTGTTCTATGAACATCACATGGTCCCAAAGACACTCAGGGAGGACGGGAGCCCAGACTGGAAAATGCTGCACCCTGACCAAAGGGCCATGCACCCTGGGGTCTTACCAGGGCCCCACATGGCTCGACTCTGTCTGGATCCGCCTGCCCTGGGGCCCTGGAAGAGGCTCTCCTTCCAGCCTCAACCCCTTCCTGTCCATGAGACCTGAGTGTGTAAAACCAAGGCCTCCAGCTCTGGCTTCCTCTAACAAGCCACTTGGGGGAACCCAATCTGCTTTCCCTCTTGAGCAAGTTCTCCGGGGCCCCTAGAACTCCCCCAAGGCAGGGCAGAGGTAGGTGTCCAGCAGAGAAACAACCAGGATGTGTCCTGGGAACCCCAGGATGCACCCACCTCGGCAAGAGTGGCTGAAACCCGGCACAGACAGAGCACAATACAGCAACAGGAACTCCGATGGTGCCTCCCGGGCTCCAAACTCTGTCCTCCCTTTGAGTTTCCCAGGAACCCACACTGTTCTGTGTGTTCCTCAAGGAGGAACTGGGAGACAGTGGACGTGACCCTCCCAGCTGACAGACAGGCCACTCAAGGCTCAAACACCAAGGCCCCCAGGACTTCCTAAAGGCCTAGACTCCATCCTTCGATGTGGGTGCAGGTGCTCAGGGAAGGGGTGGGCAGACCACAGCCTCCCAGAAGTCCTTCAGTGAAGCAGAGAAAGAGAGGGACCAGGGACTGTCGTTAAGTTTGCATCGATTGTGACTGTCAGGAACTGGCCCAGATTGTGTCCCCTCCAGAACACGCCTGGTTTCC